CATTTTCCTTAATTCAGAAACAGTGTATTGTTATTTTCTTTAGACTTTGTATGTAGTAAATCTTAGACCGTCTGTGACACTGTGACACCAAGTCTTGGGTGATTGAGGCTTGAGTAGTTGTAATAGATACAGATTTCAGATATTATATTGTTTTCTTTCGCTTAATCTAAATTTTCCGTTGTTTATACATTATTGATTTAAAATTGTTAAAAGGAAATAATTGGATAATGAGGTAATTAGTTCAAGGAATTTGGCTTGACAAGCTTAGAAGAGTCTGGGGGATCGGTACGGAGACATCTGTATTTATCCCCCAGAGGCTACAGTGTTAGGAAATTTCCCATCTTTTCTTTCCTATCGTGCGGCTTGGTTTCTCAATGACTGATTGAATTTCTATTCTGTTCTCTCGCAGATGTCGAGAACACGCGCTTCCTCATCCGCTGACCAGCAGCCCGAGCCCCCAGCAGCAGCTCCCACGAGGGGCAGAGGCCGAGGCCGAGGCCGAGGCCGTGCTAGAGGCCGAGGTAAGGGCAGAGCTCAGCCCAGAGCAGCAGCACCAGCAGCGGAGCCTCAGGTTGACTTTGATGATGAGGTTCTGGCCCCAGCAGCTCCGGTGGGCCCAGCTCAGGTCCTAGAGGGGTTTATTGCTACCCCAGTACTCTAAGATGCTCTGATACCAACTTATCACGACTCCCGAGGGTGGGAAATCTGGGTCGTGACATCCACCCAGGTGCTACCAAAATGTATCTAGATTTGAAATAGTTGTATTGGTGGAAAGGCATGAAGAAACAAGTAGCAGATCATATGGCTAAATGTTTAAATTGCCAGCGAGTCAAAGCCGAGCATCAGAGGCCTGGTGGCTTATCTCAAGATATAGAGATACCACAGTGGAAGTGGGAGATGATTAATATGGATTTCGTAGTAGGTCTACCTCGCACGTACCGTAAACATGATTCAATTTGGGTTATTGTAGACCGACTGACAAAGTCCGCGCATTTCCTACCAGTAAAGATGACAGATTCCGCAGAGCAGTATGTGCAGTTGTACATCAAAGAAATAGTCCGATTGCATGGTACTCCAGTTTCAATCATATCTGACAGAGGCCCTCAGTTCACGGTGCATTTTTGGCAGGCATTTCAGAAAAGATTAGGTACCAAGGTCAATTTAAGCACCGCTTTCCATCCACAGACCGATGGCCAAGAAAAAAGGACCATTCAGACTCTCGAAGATATGCTGCGTGCGTGTGTTATAGATTTTTGAGGTAATCGGGATGATCACTTGCCACTTATAGAATTTGCTTACAACAAGAAGTATCAGGCCAACATTGGTATGGCTCCTTATGAAGGGTTGTATGGGCGGAGATGTAGGTCTCCAGTGGGTTGGTTTGAACCAGCAGAGTTGCCATTGATTGGTCCAGAGTTTGTTTGTGAGGCCTTGGAGAAAGTTCAGCTAATTAGAGAAAGACTTAAAGCAGCTCAGAGTCGTCAAAAGTCTTATTCTGACAAGAGGCATCGTGAGTTAGAGTTCATGGTTGGTGATAAGGTGTTCTTGAAAGTTTCACCAATGAAAGGAGTTATGAGGTATGGTAAGAAAGGGAAACTTAGCCCTAGATTTATCGGACCTTATGAAATTCTAGAAAAGAAAGGAAACGTGGCTTATAAGCTAGCGCTACCCGTTGAGTTGTCCTCTGTTCATCTTGTCTTTCATGTGTCTATGCTTAGAAAGTACATTCATGATGAGTCGCATACAACACCTGCCGATACCATAGAAATTAAAGAAGGCTTGACTTATGAAGAGGTACCTATAAAAATTCTCGATAGGCAAGTAAGAGAGTTGAGAACAAAGGATATAGCATCGGTAAAAGTTTTGTGGAGTAATCATGATTCAAAAGAGGCTACTAAGAGGTCGAGGAAGATATGAGGAAGAAATATCCATATTTATTTGAGTAACAAGGTATGTGAACCTAGGTTTGACTTGACATTTATATTTCATTTAGTAAATACAAGTTAGCATGTGTTTATGTCCTTCCTAGATTATACTTAGTTGTTTTAGTAATTTAGTTATGCCAGAGTATATTTAATTCATTAAAGTGATTTACTTTTGCTAAAGTGCTGTGCTTTAGATTCTTGTTAGTTATTGTGGTACCTCCTTGCCGGAGTGTGAGTAATTAATTTATGAGCTGTATATGGTGCCTAAGAATGGCCTGTTATGATGTATTTGGTTGTTGTTGGTGTATTTGTGGTAATTGTGACAGGGAAATTTTTTGGATAGTCCAATTTACAAGGGAAACTCTGCCGAAATTTTTAAAATTTTAGGGGGTTAGCCAAAATTTTGAGTCCCTTGCAAGAGTGAGTAGTGCTAAGAAAACTTAAGAGGTTCAAGGACCTAAGAAATGATTGTTAGCTTAAGAATAAGGCCCTTGCAACATTCGAGGACGAATGTTTTTAAGGAGGGAAGATTGTAACACTCCTCAAATTTATAAAAGTTTCAAGATACGCAAATTATAGAATTAGATTATTATTATTATTATTATTTTTCTTGCCTATATATATATACATACACACACTTAAATAATTGGATATACAATTAGTGAAATATTAATAATTTTAATATTTTTATTATTAAAAGCGGGTATCATTAATTATTAGTTAAATAAAAACAAAAAAAAATTTAAAAGCAATAAAACAAAAAAAAGAAACAGGGGGACAAACTAAAGCCCATAAAGGGATTTTAGAACCAAAAGGATTGAAATCCTTTATACGAGAAAATAGAGAAACATTCTGTTCCTTCGCACGAACAGAATTAGCGAAACAGAGAGCCAGGAAACTCACGCGGGCAACGAAAACATCTAGGGTTTCTTACAAATCACTAATTCTTGAACTCAGGTATGTAAAATTTCCTATGGTCAATTACCCTTCAATAGTAATGGGTAAGACTTGAATAGTTAATTCCCTTCTTCCTCTATATCAACAGTAAATTTCATGTTTAGGTGTGAAATTTTAAAATTGATTAAAATGCACTGGTTGTTGTAGAATCGATTGTTTGACTGGTGTCAATTGGACTGGGGCCTACGTATTGGCTCGAGAAATTTTGAGGTGAGTTGATATAACCCTTTACCAAAGTGGTTTAACTCACTAAAGCATGCATACAAGGTGTTTGATGAATAGCCTGAAAGAGTTAATATGTATTTAATTGGAGCGAGTACAGTTGCTCGTTTCTCTCTTCAATGCTTCTAACAAAAAGATAGTTAAATACTTTAGTAACAAACATTACTGGACAAGTTGCCTCTTGATTCGGCTAGCAATTGAATTATAATATAAATAAGCTTAACGAGCAAGTTTTGCTACTGTCATTAGATAGGACTAGCTCCAGTTACTTCACAAAGCATAATCTAATAGTTTGTTGAATGCTATTAAGAAGTTTCGTGGTTAAGATCCAAACTGCCGTTGACACTCATAGTAGTCTTAAAAACTTAGTTATCTCTATTTTTGACCTTACCATTTAAGTACAAATAACTTTTAAGCTCCTGTCATAATCGTTGTGCACTTGAGATTTGACAATATATTTACTTAGAAGTGTTCTAGCTAAAGTTTAGATGATTTATGTGCATAAATTTTCAGATTTTTGTGTTATTCTTATATGCCATTTTCATGTTGAAAATTTATGAAGAAGCAAGAATCTCCAAAAATACTTTTGAATGTTTATTTCATTCTTATGCCATGTTTTACATTTAAGGATACCGATATGAGTATGTATTGAATGTTCCAGAAAAGATTTAGACTTGAAAAGTCACAAGAAGAAGTTTTAGAAAGAAAAATTTTTTGGGAGTATCCTTTATTCTGAGAAGGGGTCATCGTCCAGGCCGAGGGTCCTGACCAAGACGTTGACTTCCTGAAACTACTTGTGCCAAAGTAGGGAGCACACGGGCCGCTTTTGTTCGTGGAGTATTCCTTAGAGTTATCATTATTTAGTTATTTATTTGTTTACTTAGAGAACTGGCCAGGAAATCTCATGTCCTGAGCAATGCGTCAGTTTATCAGTAGAGGCTTCATAGACATAGTCGTTGGGTTAAGATTCAGATGTTTTTGATAATAACTTAGCAGTAATTCAGTAGTTACTACAATTAAAGTTTTGGAGTTGATTTATTTAAATATTTAAATTAATCAAAAGTATTTGGGTGGAGTATTGCCTTGTTGCATATAAAGCTGGAGTTATAATAGATTTGATAAGCAGAGATGGTTCGCTCGATCATGTTTAGTGATCGAGTGTCGGTCCCGGCTTGTTCAAAAAATGGGTCGTGACATTTTTCTCCAACAACACTGATTGCTCCATCTCTGCCTACTGTGACTCTGACTGAGCATCATGCCCTGACTCTAGAAAGTGTGTCACTAGCTATATTGTTTTGGTTGGAGACAGACCCATTAGTTGGAAATCAAAGAAGCAAGAAACAATTTCCTTGTCCTCAGCTGAGGCTGAGTACAAGTCCCTCCGGAAAGTGGTTAGAGAATTGGTATGGTTACACAGGTTATTTGAAGAGTTTACTATCCCACAGTCTAGTCCCATTACTGTGTTTTGTGATAGCCAATATGCTATCCACATTGCTCACAATTCTGTTTTTCATGAACGGACGAAACACATTGAGGTGGACTGCCATTTTGTAAGGAACACACTTCAGGAAGGGTTGATCTCTCTTTAGCATGTAGCCACTACTGACCAATTAGCTGATATTCTTACCAAAGCACTCACAGGAGTCAAACACCATGCTATGCTCGGCAAGCTGGCTGTGAGGTCCTCCCATCCACCTTGAAGGGGGTATTGAGATATGTTTAGTTAGATTCAATGTTAAGCATTTTGTTACTGTTAGTTATTAGTTACCTAAGCTAAGTTAATTGTTTGTAGTAGCTGAGTTAGCTGAGTCAGCAACTTTCTTTTACGTTTACTTTCACACGTGTAGATATATATACACATTGTAATAGTGGAAGATGCAATAGAGAAATATTTTCACATTTTCATTTCATCTGCTCTCCTCCCAGATATTTCTCTCTCTTTGGAATATTCTAGAATCACCATTGAAGCTCTTGCAAGAGCTTCATCCTCGCTCAATATAACAATCTTAATAAAAACTCCAAAGAAGTAATATTAGTACCCAAGTGCACTCTCCTGTGCAAAGAGGAGATCTCCATTTTTTTCACTTCAATAACAGTAAACACAGACATCGGCATCTTTGCTTCCCCTGCATTTAAATGACAAGCAGAGATTCAGATCCACGCATTAACAAATCAAGCCCCACTGCTATCACCAAAAGACAGGCTTATAGACCATTTATTGGAGGGGAGACATTCATTAAGAAGAAGAGAAGTCAAGAGTCGCAAAATAACTTCAATCATGCAAAAAATACTAAAGAATACGAGGTGTTTTAGCAGGATGGGAAATTCATACTAACTCGAAACGGAAGAAATAGGAATCAGATGCGACTCTGTTTTAGGTCCTCATTCATGCCTCATATCGCCCTATCTCATCACAAAATTGTAAATGTCAAATCAATTCAATGATTCCTTCAACAACATCCATGTAAAAACAATGCTTTTATGTCCAATTTTCTTCCATGTACTGATGTCCCAAACTGTTTTATGGACACGATTTTGGATAGTTACACAATGTTTTCAATAAGAAAAGTTACATAATCTCAATCTACTAACTTCATTAACTAAAGCCAAGACTTGATCAGCATACCTTTCTGAATAGCAGTGAACAAAAACGGTTTTGTACCGAACCTGCAGAGCTCAATATTCTCATCCTGCAACGTGGAAGACAGGATATAAACTCAACATAAAAAGGGATAACCAATTGTCTGACGGGTCATATTACTGAATTTCGTGTTAAAGTTACTGGAACACCGTCGCTTGTCTTCCATATTCTGTGGATGCATGTGGAAGCTATATAAGCTGACGATATATAAAAGTAGGGAAAGGACTTTAAAATCTTGGTCCAAACATCAACAAAGGAACAATAATTGTACTTTTGAAATATGACATATTGATAAAATTTCAAATTCCATATTGGGATGGAGTTTTAATTACATGTGAAATATGGAACTCCGTGACAATGATTTTTTATCAATATATGGCTAAAAAGTGGCTAACCCATTACTACGCAATTTATATCCCACTTGTGGGACTATACTAAGTCAAAATTGTTTAATAAAAGTATACATTGTTTACGCAGTAGGTACATATACAAAAAAAATTAACAGGTAATATATGTCCACGTAACACATTATTGACAACCCAAAAATTTTAAACATGCTGACCACTACCAGTTCGTGGGACTTCGATTGTGTTGTGAAATGGTATCCTTAATTATATTATTTTTGGTTTTGAAAACAAAATATTGACCATTCTAGGCAGGCCAATCCTCTGGGTCTGCCTTTCTTTTCTTTTTTTCTTCCAACAAAATTCTTATTTATAGATTATTTTATTATAATCATTTGGTATTACGTATACGTTGGCTCGACTAATTTGGATACGCATTGCGGAAGGTTCATTAAAGAGAAAACGGTTCCTATAAAAAATTTATCGATTCCCAAGGCTCGAACCGAATACATCTAATTAAGGATAGAGGGATCTCATCCATCTCACCACATCTCTCGATACTATATATATATATATATATATATATATATATATATATATATATATAAATTGCTGAAGTATATCTCATTATTGANATTCTCAAGTATGGTCAGTCATTGTACCTGACCGGTCAGCCATTGTTACCTGACCCAACGCGTGTTTCAGTGCCATTGTTACCACTGGTCAGCCATTGTTACCTGACTGGTCAGTCATTGTTACCTGACCAAAACACGTATGACAGTGTCATTGTTACCAGGGAGCCTATATTCAGTAGCAAATCTAGAGGAGCTAGGAACAGTCAATTAGTCAACTAATACAACTTGCATTTTGGCAAAACCTACAAGGTAGCTTTCACTAACACATCAACACTAAAAATGCCAATATCTAAATCCAGGTAATATTTGCTAAGACTGACATACCCCGATTGTAATCTTGTGATTTATAAATTCCGGAAAGGCCACCAATACGAATGTTGCCAAACTTGATTACTCCAGCAAATCCGAGGAAGTATATCTGAGGTGCTGCCCATCCTCCATAGTACCTGGAAGCACAAACAACCACTGGATGAGTTAAGCAACAACAACAATAACCACCCAGTGTATTTCCACAAGTGGCGTCTGGGGAGGGTAGGATGTACGCAGCCTTACCCCTACCCTGGAAGGGCAGAGAGACTGTTTCCGGTAGACCCTCGGCTAGAGAAAAGGTGGAACACTGGATGAGTTAAGCAAGTTGAGGAAAGTAGCATGCTAAAACTGACGTATCCTAAAGTAGCATACATTGACTGCAGCTGTTATATATGGAGACCAACTTACAATTCCCAAAGGTAATTGGATGCTTCATGGTTTCCTCCAATAAATATAGTTGGAAATGGTGCTACTTTCTCTCCTGAGTAATACTTCCAGAAAGAGTTCATGCTCCGGTATTTAAGTGGCACATTTAAGCTTTCCAGATCCTTCTCATTCCTAACAGCCTGTTTGCACAAATAAAATATCTCAATTCATACTAGTCAAGCTGAGGATTTAAGTGTTTTAGAGCATCAAACTGTTGAAATTGCTCAGCCAAATCAACACATTCAAAGGCCAAGAATGAGTTAAGCATCATTAATAATGGAATCCCATATCAATTACCAACATCATGAAGCATAGAAGAATCAAAACACCAAAAAGATGTATTAACAAAGAATGATTCAAAATAAGGAAGAGCACAATGTTAATAAACTGAATAGAATCTGTTACAACGAACGAGCTAAGCCTAATACTCCAATGAATGAACCATAAGCATAGAAGATTCAGAACAACAAAATCCCGGTGTAGTCAGTATTGGTTGGTATATGTAAAGAAAATGAGCCAAAGCCCGATTTCCATTATTAACTCGTGGAGACAAATCGAATAACAACTGATGTGTCAAAAGCTAACTAGGAACAAATCTATCTACCTGAAAGTCACCGCAACATAAAAGGAGATCAATCTTTATATTCTCAACTTCTTGCAACTGCAATAGGGTGGCATAGACATTATCCAAGTCTCCGTGCATACACCCTTCTACTGCTATCCTCATCTGTATTTAACACTTTTGAGCAACTGAAAATCCATCAATAAACACTTTAAACAAGAAAAAGGTGATCTCATCATTACTGATTTTCCTCAACAAACCAGTGAAACACATAGACGCACATAAATAGTAAAGAAAACTCACTGGATAGTGCTGAATTGCAAGATTGTATACAGAGTATCTCAAGCAGTTTTAACTGCTCTCCTTGTGAAAACAAACGACAACTGCTACTAACGAGGTTCCTATGAACAATAACATACGGACATTAATGTTATTAATAACAAATTCCTTCTAAAAAATGTTCTTAGCAACTACTAATATAAGACTCTTGTTTCCGCATTCTGCCTTTTGTAAACCTTTTCCTATATTTTCTCAATAGCTGCTGTCGCTCTTCATGGATCTATCCTACATGGCTGGCTCTACTGTTATCACAAGTAGGGTTGTACTTAGGCCCCAAATTTGGGAGGCCCATTTTTTTTTAGAAATAATAGGTTTATAGGTATTTAAAAAATAATTATATTTAACACTTTTAATACAAAAAGTAGAATTTTTATTGTCACGACACGGATTTCCCACCATCGGGATCGTGATGGCGCCTACTCGTGGTAGCTAGGCAAGCCAACTTATTTACCTTTTCATCACTAAACAATTATTTTAACAATTTATAGCATCAATATAGAACATGAAATTTACTAAGAATAATAGCGGAAGTCTGATTTATAAATCTGAATCAAAATGCGGAACAGTTAATAATAGCCTCTACCCAAGATTTGGTGTCACATCACTCACGAACCACTAAGAATATACTAAATACAAAGGTCTGAAAGAAACATAGAAGCTGTCTGTCTCGAGACAAGGAGGCAACAGTCTAAAAGAGAACATAAAGAAGAGACGCCGGGCCTGCGGATGCCTGCAAGGCTACCTCGGTCTCGTGATAATGAAAGCTTGCTCCCGTACTAATGCTGCTGCTGCTCCTCAGAACCTGGACCTGTGCAAAAATGCACAGAAGCGTAGCATCAGCACAACCGACCCCATGTGCTGGTAAGTGTCTAGCCTAACCCCGGCGAAGTAGTGACGAGGCTAGACCGGACACCACATAAACCTGTGCAGTTATAAATATACAACGGAAATAAAATACCAAACAACTAGCAATATGGGAGGGGGAAACATGCTGTGGGGAGATAACAATAGTAACAGTAATTCCGAGTAACAAACTAAAGCAGCTTAGATTCACAATGAACAAGGAAAACAATACTCAATATAAACACATGGTATCAATAACTGTTGCGGCGTGCAACCCGGTCCACAATTTACCATTGTTGCGGCGTGCAACCCGATCCACAAATACCACTGTTGCGGCGTGCAACCCGATCTACAAATACCACTGTTGCGGCGTGCAACCCGACCCACATCATTTATCATGTATCATTGTTGCGGCGCGCAACCCGATCCTCACATATTATTGTTGCGGCGTGCACCCGATCCTCAATATCTTTGTTGCGGCGCGCAACCCGATCCACATCATTTAACAGTCTGACTCCCAAACAACAGTCACGATTAAGAGGCATAAAAAAATAAGCAAATATTTGACAAAAATCCCGGCAAGGGAAAGAAACCAACAAGTTCAACCAAACGTCCCGGCAAGGGAATAATCAACAACGCTTTCTCTTTCTTACTTTTCTTATCTTATAATCCACTCTACCATCTTGAGCCAACGCAACGCTCCACAGATTCAAGTCATTTCATATACTTTCAATATTCGTATCACAATTCGAGCCAATGCTCCTAGGATCAAATGATCATGTCAATGTTCATATGTTATTCACAACATATAGAAATCCTCCAATAAACACGGAGTTCGCAACCAAGCCATGATAATCACATTATAAGGACTCACGGTCATGCTAGACACCAATGTATAGATACTCGTCACCATGCCTATACATCGTACTCGATCACATAGCAATTAGCAACAAGACTCAACTCTTATTCCCTCAAGCTAGGGTTAAACCAAACACTTGCCTCAAAGCCTTGAAATCCACTTAATCCTCAACTATCGCTTTACCTCGCGGTTCCACCTCCAATTCGCTCGAATCTAATCACAAATTGTTCAATTACTTTAATAAACACTATATGAATCAATTTGAATGCACAAAAATGATTTTCCCAAGTTTTTTCCCAAAAATTCCAAAAACGCCCCGGGCCCACGTGGTCAAAACCCGAGGTTCGAACCAAAACCCGGTTACCCATTCCCCCACGAGTTCATATCTATGTTTCGTTTTGAAATCGGACCTCAAATGGAGGTCCAAATCCCCAATTTTAAGAAAACCTAAGTTCTACCCAAAATCCCCATTTTCACCCATGGAAATCCTTGATTTTAAGATGAAAACATGTCTAATGATGTTAAAGATTGAAGAAGTTAAGTAAAAATTGACTTACAAATGATTTGGAGAAGATAGGTTTCTTGGAAAATCGCCTATGGAGTTTGGGTTTTGAAAGAATGAAGAAAAGAGGGTTAAAATTCGTCTAAGTATGAAAAATTGCAGGTCTCAGATGTGGGAAATGCGAACATGGGTTCGCAATTGCGAACCCAACAGGCTTGGGAATTGCGAAAATGGTTTGGGAATTGCGAACATGGGAATTGCGAAGAAAGTTTAGGAAATGCGAACAGGCTTGGGAATTGCAAAAATGGTTTGGGAATTGCGAACATGGGAATTGCGAAGAAAGTTTGGGAAATGCGAACAGGCTTGGGAATTGCAAACATGGGAATTGCGAAGAAAGTTTGGGAAATGCGAACAGGCTTGGGAATTGCGAAAAATGTTTGGGAAATGCGAACCTGGGAATTGCGAAGAAAGTTTGGGAAATGCGAACAATCCTGGTAATTGCGAAAAATGTTTGGGAAATGCGAAACCTGCAGACCTGCAATTCCTTAAGTCCAAAATTTCACCTCGTGGCCTATCCAAAACTCACCTGAGCCCTCGGGGCTCCAAACCAAACATGTACACAACCTCAAAAACATCCTATGGACTTATCCGTGCAATCAAATCTCCAAAATAACATCAAAATCATTGAATCAAGCCCCAAATTCATCATTTTTCATTATAACTTCATAAACTTCAAACTTTAGATATTTGGGTCCGAAACACGTCAAATGACGTCCGATTTCAACCAAATTTTACAGAAAGCGCTTAACACATATTTAAGACTTGTACCGGGCGTCGGAACCATAATACGAGCCCGATACCACAGTCTTTTAATCAATTTTCATTTCCTTTTTCCTTAATAATTTCAAAGAAACAATTTCACAAAAAAATTCTTTCCGCGGGCTCTAGACATCGGAATTTGACTCCAGGCACATGCCCGAGCCCCATATTTTTCTACGGACCTTCCGGAACCGTCCAATCTCGGGTCCGGGTCCGTTTACCCAGAATGTTGACCAAAGTCAACTTTAATCATGTTAATATCAAAATTCATCATTTTTCACACATAATTCATATTTAAGCCTTCCGGCTACACGCCCGAACTGTGCACGCAAATCGAGGCAAGTAACAATGAGGTTTTCAAGACCTCAGAAGCACGGAGTGGATGAGGAAATAGGTGATGACCCTTTGGGTCGTCACATCCTCCACCTCTAAAACAACCGTTCGTCCTCGAACGGACAAAAGAAAGAAGCATCTGAGTCGGGGAACAGATGTGGATAACGGCTCCGCATATCAGACTCGGACTCCCAGGTCGAGGCCTCAGGGGGCTGACCTCTTGTCACGACCCAATTCCCATACCCGGTCGTGATGGCGCCTCTCGTGAAGACAAGGCCAGCCAACTCACCCAAATCCTTTCACTAACAATTATTAAACATAAATGAATAGAAGATACAACTTAATGGCATTAGAAACTGTTAATTACTACCCGACCGGAGTGTCACAAGTCACGAGCATCTAAGGAAACCTTAACACAACTACAGGCCAATAAATATATACAAGTAAAATTTCTAGAAAACAAAAGACCACATCCGGTGCCGCGAACGCTGGCGGTCACCTTGCTCAGCTACAATAACAATACCTTCAATCCGCTAATAACCCGCTACCGGGTGAACGATACCTGCAACTGCACACGAGGTGCAGGGAGTAAAGTGAGTACTTCCAACTCATTGAGCAATAAAAATGAATAACGACTGAGAGTATAAAATCCCACACAGGCACAGATAATGCTATCTCAAACAGTAAAATCAAGTAAACAGTAGGAACCAGTGAAACATAGCAAGAAATCCTCTTTGAAAACAATTAATAAAACAAGTATTCTCAAGTATGGTCAGTCATTGTTACCTGACCGGTCAGCCATTGTTACCTGACCCAACGCGTGTTTCAGTGCCATTGTTACCACTGGTCAGCCATTGTTACCTGACTGGTCAGTCATTGTTACCTGACCAAAACACGTATGACAGTGTCATTGTTACCACTGTCCAATTCTAAATGGGTACCCGCGCTCACTGTGGGTGTGCACACTCCGGAGGGGCTCTTACAGCCCAAGCGCTATCAACAAGGCCTGAAAGCCTGAACAGTATCAATACGAGGCCTGAAAGCCTCCTCACCTCACTCATCATGCCCTCACATAAGGCCCTCGGCCTCAATCAGTCCAGAAATAGTCAACAGCCCCTCGGGCAACAGTAAAGCAATAATACTCAGCTCAAACAATAGTTCAAATATCAGTTTAAAACTCTAAGTTTGAGTAAATATGGCTGAGTTCAAGAAACAGTGTAAATCACATGGACTGAGTTCAAATAATATTTCAAACAGTGAGGAAAACAGTGATGATAGTTCATAAAGAGTTCAAACAGTCGGCAATAAGCCCCAAATATGGCAATAAGCCCAAATCATAGTGAAAACAACAAGTCATTGCTAATACGCGGTAAAATATCATCCGGACTGGACCAAGTCACAGTCCCAAATAGTAAATGACCCCGCGTTCGTCATGGAATGCGTGTCTCATCTCAACATAGCACCATGCAAATCCGGGGTTTCAAACCCTCAGGACGTCATTCAAAATCATTACTCACCTCGAACCGGTGATATCTCTAGCTCGCGACGCCTTTGCCCCTCAAACCGACCTCCACGCGCGTCGAATCTAACCAAAACCACAAGGAATACGTCACAATAGGCTAATGAATCATAACCCAATCGAAAAGACTCGAAAAATATCAAAAATCACGAAGTTGGCAAAACCCAAGCCCCGGGCCCACTTCTCGAAAAAATTACAAAACTCACATTACCGGATTCCTCGTCTCGCCACGAGTCCATACATATCAAATTTACCAAAATCCGAGCTCAAATGCTCCCTCAAATTCCCAAATATAAATCTCAAAATCCCAAGCCCTAGTTCATCAATTTAAGGCTTAATTCCATGAATTTCTAGGTTAATTTCACATACTAATCATGTTTTAGGTTCAGAAATCTTACCTCCATTAATTACCCGTCGAAATCCCCATTCAATTCCGTCCAATAGCTCTCAAGCTCGCTTAAAAATGGTGGAAATAACATAAGCTTTGCGGACAAAATGAATATAAAACCCTTCTGGCTCCAGGAGTTTCCGCTTCTGCGGTCCCCACACCCGC